ATATGCATGTTTTAGTCAGCCTGGTGAATCCCTAGGGGACAGGTACAGATGTTTTCCTTGTTTTAAGCTCCATTTGGTGCAGCAGCTTCCTTAGTAACATCTATATCCCTACCTCCCTACTTACCTACCTTCTTTTTGGAGCCTGACATTTAAGAAAATTTGTGTAGAAATAATTGAATGGAAACTTTAGTTACCAAGCATAAGCAGTAGACAAAAACAAATGGAAAAGCAAAGGCAAAAGCAATTTGAAGTCATAAAATGTATGACTTTAGTTTGCAAGAAGCAAAAAATAAACAATCTTAGAAAAGTGAAAGAATTGATTTCGGAGCTGCCTCAGTATAAAAACTTAGAATGACTAGGTGTCAGTAAGGCACCGTCAATGAAACTACAAAACATACAAACAGGAAAAACAAAAAAGAACTTGATAGAAACCATCCCAGAGAAAGCCTATGCATTAGAATTATTAGTTAAATATTTAAATTTATCTTTAATGAAGCTAAATGAAATCATGGACAAAGAACTAAAATTAGGAAAACAAGGTGCAAACAAAATGAGCATCTCAATAATTATAAAAAGAAATTGAGCCGGGTGCAGTAGCATACACCTGTAATCCAGTGGCTCCTCAGGAGGTTGAGGCAGGAGGATCCTGAGTTCAAAGCCAGCCTCAGCAAAAGTGAGGCACTAAGCAACTCAGTGAAATCCTGTCTCTAAATAAAATACAAAATAGGGCTGGGGATGTGGCTCAGTGGTTGAGTACCCAGAGTTCAATCCCTGGTACAGAAAAAGAAAAGATTATAAGCATTAAAATTTGACAGTAAAAGACAATCTGAATAAATACTGGTCTTTGGTAAGTGTCAAGCAAAAATAAATAAATAAATAGATATATAGATAAAATAAGGAACCAAACAAATTCTGGAGCTGAAAAGTACAATAACTGAAAATGAAGAATTCACTAGAGGAGGGGTTCAACAGCAAATTTGAGAAGAGAGAAGAAAGAAATGAGACAATTGAAATTATTCATTCTGAGGAGTAGAAAGAAGGAAAAAGAACAAAACCTGAGAGATGGATGGGGCACCATCAAAGTGAGTCTTATATCCAAAGTACATCTTTTCTACAGAGAAAATGGACTGTGTGTTAGTCCTTTTTTTTTTTTTTTTTTTTTTTTTTTTTTTTTTTATAACAGAATACCTAAGACTGGGTAATTTATAAATATCAGAAGTTCATCCATCTCCTGTAGTTTTTGAGGCTGGGAAATTCAAGATCAAGGAGCTATATATAGTGAGGACCTTCTTGCTACATTTAATACAGCAGAAGTAAGAGGAACAAGCACAAGCAAGGGAAAGGGGCAGAACTCATCTTCTTATCAGGAATTCAATGATAAGCAATCCCAGGAGGAGAGGGGCTGAAAAAATATTTGAAAACAAAAACTTCCTAATTCTGGTTAAGACATGAATATATACATTTAAGAGGCTCAAAGAACTCCAATGAGGATAAACTCAAAGAGATCCAACTGAGACACATTGTCATTGTAAGAGAATTCTGAAAGCAGCAAGAGAGAAGCAACTTGCCTCATTAAAGGAATCTTGAATAAAATTAACAGCTAATTTCTCATCCAAAAACTTAGAGGCCCAAAGGCAGTGGGATGATAGGGAATTAAAAAAAAAACAAAACAAAACTATTAACCAATAATTCTATATCTAGTAAAAACTATCTTTCAAGAATAAAGGAGACTCCGATTAACACATAGTCAGAAAGATAGAAGACAAGGGATTTCGTTACCAATAGACTTATTCTACTGGCAATGCTAAAGGGGGGAGTCCTTTAGGCGGAAATGAAAGAATGCTAGCAGTTATCCAAAGCCATAAGAACAAATAAAGGCAAATACGTAGGTAAATACAAAAGCCAGTATTACTGTACTTTGGATTTGTAACTCCTTTTTCCCCTATGTGATTTAAAAGGCAAATACATATAACCGTTATTTTGTCTATCTTAATAGGCATACAGTGTTTAAATATGTAATCTATGGCAATAACAATATAAAGGGAGAGAATGGAAATATAAAGGAGCAGAGTGTTTTACCATTGAAACTAAGTTGGTAGGCAAACTAGCTTATTGTAAAGTTCAAAGGTTAATTGTAATCCCCAAGGTGATCATTGGGAAAATGATTAAAAATTATACAGAAGAGGAAAGAAGAAGGAATCAAACTGGAACACTAGAAAAACATCCACAAAATTTTTTAAAGGCAGTAGATAATGGAGAAATTAAGGAACAAAAAACAGAAGAAACAGAAAACATGGCAAATGGCAAAAGTAAATCCTTTCTTAGTAATAGTACTGAAATGTAAATTAAGTATTTTTTTCTCTTTAAAGGCAGAGATCAACAGGTTGGCTTTAAAAAACACAGCTTGATACAATTTGAATATGTCCCCTAAAGTTCTAGCGTTGGAAACTTAAATCTTCAGTGCCGCAGTGTTGAGAGATAGGACCTTTAAGAGGTGACTAGGCCCTGAGGGCTCTGCCTTTTTGGATAATGTTGTTACCATGAGATTGGATTAGTTATCCTGGGAGTGAGGTCCTGTAAGAGGACAAGGTCTGTCTTGTTCTCTTGCTTGCGCATGCTCTTTTCCCTCTTCCTTCTGCTGTGGGACGGTGCAGCAAGGAGGTTCTTACAGATCCAGCCCCTCAGTCTTGGACTTCCCAGCCTACAGAACTACAGGAGATGAACCTCTGTTTTTTGGTTATTTTTTTTTATTTTTTTTTTTATTACCCAGACTCAGGTATTTGACATACAAAAGGAATAAGACAAATTCTAGCTGTTGAGTAGAAAAGACTCATTTTAAGAGAAAGAACACAAAGAGGTTGAAATAATAAGAATGTGAAAGGATATACCATATAAATCATAATGAGGAGATTGGGAGTGGTTCTATTATTGTCAGACAAAACAATCTTTAAGAAAAAAGGCTGTGGGAGACAAAGGATATTTTATATTGCTAAAATTTTCAATCCAACAAGAAAATATGACAGTTACATACACATATAACCACAGATCTCCAAAATACAAGAATTAAAGAAAGAGACAATTCTACAATAATGGAAACTTTACTGCCACATTTTCTAGAACGGATAGAACTAGACCAAAGATTAGTAAAGAAATAGCAGACTTTAGCAACACTATAATCCATTTGGAGTTATAGCAGAGCACACATTCTTCTCAGGTGCACATGGGCCATTCTCAAGACTAGACCATATATTAAACTATAAAGAAGTCTGAATAATGTTTTTATAAAGCACATGTGGGGTGGGGCACAGAGCTCACCCTAAAATACAAAGCTAAATATTTTATTTGCTAAGTCTAATCCAGAATGTGGAATGAGTAGGGGTAAGTGTAGTTCCCTTGGGCCAGATTTGGTTTAGAGAAACGGCACTGGTGTACTTGCAAGAAGCATTCTGTTTCTTTGGCAGGGAAGGAGAGCACCATTTGGTAGTGAAGCTTAGAGGGCTCTTTTGTCCTCTCCCAGCACCTGCCCTTCATGCCCTCAGAGAACTTGGGCAAAGAGTAGGTCTAGGAAAACTCATCCCTTTCAGTAATGAATCTTAAAAAAACAAACAAACAAACACTGGCATATCAGGTAATTTAATGAAATAAAACAGTAGAAGAGAGCAGCAGAACTCAGTGGTTGTAGAACACTTGATAGGAAAACATTGCTATAGAACAGATGAAAATTGGGACTAAACTCTCTACCACTCACTTAAAATATAAATGAAACAAAAAATTTACCAATAGAGCACTAATTCATGAACTCAAGGAAGGAGTTGAAACATGTATTCAGAATCAGGAAATGGTAAGGACAAAATTTCAAATACATCACAGAAATGAAGACATGGGGAAGGAGAACAAAATAGTCTATACTAGAAAGAGTGGGTATGGAGAAAGAAATGAGAAGAGCAAGCAAAATAAATAGTGAAAGGAATTAGTAATAGTTAAAAATAATTGAAATATAGAAGATAGGTAAATGTGTTTTAGCAGAGACTTAATAAGTGTTCTCAGGTATACAGGGGGATAGGGATAATATTTAATCCCCCCTTTTTTTGAGTAAGATACTTTTTACAAAGCACTTGGAACGTTGTGTTAACAGAATTTAATCTACCCTCATTTCCTCAGACTAATTTTAATTTAAACATAATCATTTAATATTTTACCATTTTGAGTCTATTATGTTTTATGTACATTATACTGATAAAGATCAGAAAGTTAACTCCACAGTTGTTTCACATACTTTGTAGTTTAGACTCAGTAGAATGAAAAATGGGAGAAGTAGATCAAATAAGAGTGTGCATTATTTTACTTCTGGTTTATTTGGGTGTGTGAGAACCTCTCAGATATTTCAAAAACAATATACCTTTATACAATGTGTTTTATAATTACCTACTATATATGTGACGTTCTTGTTAGACTTGGGAAAACAGAGATGAAAAAAGGTATGTTTTGCCTGTACTGAAACTCATCATTTGTTGATGAGACAGACACATAAGCAATTATAATGTATTGTCAGAAGTACTGTAATGCATGAATGTGGGGGTTGCTTTTGGACCCAAAGGAGGGCCCTCCTACCTCTTTGAGATGCAGGAGAGTGCATTCAGGTGTGCTTCCCAGAGAAGGTGACACCCAAGTTGAGTCCGGAGAGAGCCAAAACCTGGAACATGCAGCCTTCTTTTCTAGGGTAAGGAGATGGAGTTCATAATAAGATGACGGGGAGCCAGTGAATTAGAAGAAACCTGATTTGTCATCCTCTTTACTAAGTCCTGCCAGAATTGACCATTTACTTTTTCATTCTTAGTTTTTCAATTGAAAATAGAAATAAAATACCTCTTCTCTCCTAGAAATGTGGCATAATGATTAATAAATTTTTAAAAATATTTGTGTGTAACTAGGAGTGTTGTAAATGTAGCATATGTACAAATATGAGTTGCTCTTCTTACCTTTTACTCCTTTTATTTCAGCTCAATCTGAATTTGAAGTGTCTGTCTCTGCAAGGAATATTAGGCGGTTACTAAGTTTCCAGCGGTATCTCAGATCCTCACGCTTTTTCCGTGGTACTACTGCTTCCAGTTCTCTAAACATTTTAGATGATGATTATAATGGACAAGCCAAGGTGTGTACAGCTTTCTCAATAATTGTTTGACATGTCTACTGAGGCCTTTTTTTCCCCATATAGTACTGATTTGTAGATCCCTATTTCTGTCTGCAAAAAGCAATTGAGCCAATTTTTCAGATTTTTTTTTTTCTTCAGATCAACTTTCTGTTCTGAAATTAGGGATGACAGAGCAAGGGAAATTTCTGAAGTAACTAAAAGAGTGAAAATATTTCCATTTATCACAACATTAAGTAATAAGTAGGTCAATAGAACATTAAACTATAAGATTGTACCAAATCTTAATTCGGGGAAGAACATTCAAGTTTGTGAATGTTCATTGTTTTTTATTATTCCCACTTTACTGGCAGAGACCAAAAACTTTGTCAGATAGAATTTTTTAAATTGAATACTTGTTTTTAATTGACACACTTGTACATGTTTCTGAAGTACAGTATAATAATTCAATTAGAGATTACCTGAATATTTGAGATTATTGATAAGGAAAATCATAGAGAGCATAAAGGAGTTGTCTGAATTCACCCAGCTGGGTAGGGGTAACCTAGCACAAGAAATTAGATTTCATGATTTTCAAATGTGTTTTGCATAGTATCTTTCAGCCAACAGATTTTTGGCTGGGTGTTGTGGCACACACCTGTAATCTCAGTGGCACAGGAGGTTAAGGCAGGAAGATCATATGTTTGATGCCAACCTCAGCAATTTAGAGAGAACTTTGTCTCAGAATAAAAAAAAAAAAATAGAAGGGGCTGGAGATGTAACTCAATAATTAAGCACCTCTGGGTTCAATTCCCAGTACCCAAAAGAGAGAGATTTTGAGGAGTTAGACATTTCTTAGCTAAACCCAATGAATGTGAGCTTTATTTGCTTCATCTTTATGTATTTAGAGCTGATGTCATAATTCAGATTGAAGTTAAATGAACTTATTCTTGACCACATGAGGATTTTAAATAATTTTAAATTATTGTTTGACTTAGTTTTATAGGCCAAATTTTATAAACTATTTTTTTTAGATTTTGTAAATTTTGGGGGTACCTTCATAACAATCACATTAATGTGAAAAACATTTGCTTTTTGATGAAAGAAATCAGTGGAAACTGCTTATACTTTTTTTAAATTTTGAAAAGTTTACAAGCTTGGCTTTATAAAGTGAGAATGTGATCTGTGTGTTATTGCTTATATCAGTACATCATAATTTTAACAAACTCTATTAGTACCATCTTAGTATTGCTTCTGTCAGTTTATACACAATGTATACGACATTTAATTTCTGGAAATAGAATAAAATCTTGTTCTTGAAAAAGTCCACAAGATGTTCAGGTTGAGAGTATGTGGTGTAGTGCTCCTTGCGGCAGCACATATACCTAAAACTGGAATGATGCAGAGAAGATTATCACAGACCCTGGGCAAGGATGACACACAAGTTTGTGAATGTTCGATATTTTTTTACTATTGCCACATTACTGGCAGAGACTCAAAATGTTGTCAGATAGAATTTTTTAAATTGAATACTTGTTTTTAATTGACACACATTTGTACATGTTTATGAGGTACAGTATAACATACCTGTATATGTTGTGTAATGATCAAATCAAGGTACCATTTCTGTCTCTTAAAAAAAAAAAAAAAGAATATGTGATGTGGGCTGAGAACAAAAGATATGCAAAGCCTTGAGTTTTATACTAGGCAATACCAATAAAAAAGAGTGCCCAAGAATTTATGGTATTAAAATATTTGTTTTTTAAAGGATCTTTATGAGATTTACTTGGTTGGCTAAAGTACACATCATCATAAAAGTTCATGTAGTAAGTTATATTAATAGCTCTAAAATGTTTTTTAAAGATAATAAATATCCCTTAAGTTGGGAATGTTTTTAAAAACATGAATAATAGATAATTTATGTATGGTATAGTATTAATGTCAGGTGCCTGAGTTCCAGAACCAGACTAAGATCCCATCTCTTTCACTTTCTAGCTGAGCATATTAGCGCTAAGTTTTACCTGTTTTCCCATCTATAGACTGAGGATGGAAAATAATGCTTGCTTAGTAGTGGGTGTCAGTGTTAAGGTAGCCATTTTAATTCAGTTTTACTAGATTTTTAAAAATCTAGTTTTTAGTCCATGCAACGTATAAATCACACTTCTGTGATGTTTAAATTATCATAGAATTCGTGAAAATTTGTGGGACTATAGGAATAAGGTGAAAGACTAAGACCTGTACATTCATTAATTGAAAAACAAAATAATGATTTTATTTTTCAAATTGAGTTTATATCTTTGAGCATTTTTTGGAGCCAAAAGAAGAATGATACTTGGTATTTCTTGAAGTAAATCAGTCACTTTCCATTTTCATTAACTTCTCTATGGACTATCTACAAAAGACAGAGAATGTTATTAAAATTAAATTACAGTAGGAATGTTTGGTTTTCATTTCAGTGTATGCTGGAAAAAGTTGGAAATTGGAATTTTGATATCTTTCTATTTGATAGACTAACAAATGGTAAGTGAAGAATTTGACTTACTCAAGTTAATGTAGCCTCTAGATTACTGCATTAATGGTGCAGCCCTTGGTGGGCTGTTGCTTTCATTGACTCAGGTTATGAGCCCTCTGCTGGCAGAGGGAGCATCATTTTGTGTCTTTTTTATAGTGACTTTTCTAAATGTTGACAATCTCACAATTTTGTGCTTTTATTATTACCCTACGCAGTAATCAAAACTCATCATCATGATGATGCAGCCAGTTGGCAGTTATTGCAGCTATTTTTAATAACACAGAGTAAGCCTTATTATCTCATTATGGCCTCAATTTTTCCTTTTTGGTTTCTTTTAGATTGTGGCTATTTATAGTGACCTCTTCTGGTGCTGTATCCCAGTGTATCCCAGGTGATTGGTGGCTTGGCTGCCACTTGAGATGCATCCTTTCCTGAAGTGCCGTGGTTCCCAGGCTTGCTTTCTCTGTGTTCTTGAGACACAGACATGTCATGTTACAGTCAGCAGCAATGGTTCCCTCTGGCACTGCCTCTCACGATGGGATAGGAAGAGTTTGTAGCTTAGGAGAATGTATTGGAATCTCTATGGAGTAAAAGTGGTTTGAGTAAGATGCTCACAGGTGATCTGATCTGCCCCACCCACTCCAGAGTTTGGTTTAGTTTTGTTTGGGTTGGAGATGCCATGGTTCACTATTTTCTTTGGGAACCCAAACTGGATTCCCTTTGGGAATATCTTTTATTTAGGATAAATATTTTCGTGTAATTCATCGTGGTATATGCAGTTCCTCTAGCTTTTCCCCCTTTTTTTCCTAAATAGCTTTTTAATAAAATGAAGCAAAGCAGAAAGTACATGGAGAGGAAGTCAGTTCTGACTATTTGTAGTGACAAAATAAATATGTGGCTTTGCTGCTGTCCTTTGAAATCACTTGCTTTTGCTTATTTCACTTTGGGGTGCGAGCTCTTTCATAAGAAGCCAATATTTAAAAAGTGGACAAATAAACACAGCTTTATCTTGAACATCAATGTGGGCCTTATAATATCACCCCATTATTTCCTCTAGGCTGTATGCCATGGGTACAGAAAGTACCTCTCTGCACACCTTCTGCTTTGTTTACACATTGTAGGCAGGAAATAGAGTGGACTTATGCTTGGCAAAATGGTCAAGACAGTGAGGTTTGCCTTTATCAGCAAAGTCACCTTCCACTTCCCTTTTTATTTTTCTTCCCTGTCTGTTTTTCTTCCACCTCTCCTTTGCCCTTTGGTGATTAGGTGTCCTATTGCTCTCCCTGCCCTCACCTTGGCAGTCAGTGCTAGAAAGGCTCGAATGTCACTAACAGTTGGTCTTCCCCTGGGCTTTCTTGAAAACACAGGTAGTGAGATATCAGGTGACTATCTCCTTCTAGATCTGGAATATTTTTCTTTCACAACTCAATACAAATATTACTTTAGTTATTATGTCAAGTTATTATATCAAATAAATACAAATGAAACACCTTTAAGGTTTAGCCTTATATAACCTGTCAGCTCATAGTCTATTATTAGGCTGCTGAGATGCCTGTCATTCATTGAAATCGTTGATTGTTCACCTCTAAATTTTATTTTTAGAAGTCCTCAACAGGGACTCAGGGATGCAAGTAGAAATAAGCTTGGTATTGTGTAGGGTGGTCAGAAGTGATAGCCTCCAATCTATATTAGTTAACTTAGCACTTTACCTTCCCTTTGATTACCTAACTTCTTCATCTGTAATTGTGGAGAAAGTGGTTGAATGGCTGCTTGTTAGTGCTGATTCCAGATCATGAGGGGTTAGTATAATCTGCCCATGGTTAGCCACCTTTGTTTTATAGGAGGTGATGCACACGGTCAATTACAGCTACCTAAAAGTTATAGAAATTCTCTACTTAAAGAGATGTTATTGAACAAATGGTCAGAAGGAATTTCATCAACTTGCATTATGCAATCATAATGGATTTCCTTTAAACACTATTTACCCTGAAACTAATTCCAGATATGTGTTCTTGGTATCCAAGTGTATACTTTCCCCTTCTTGCTTATTGATCCAGTGTTTTCTTGTATTTCTTACTCTGGTAATTCCCCAGATGATACTAGGAAGAGGACAGGGAGGCAAAACTCGGTGATTCATGCCAAGATAAATGGTCCCCAGCTGTCTGCTCCAAGGAGGAAAATAGTTACTGTCTGCTAGATATACTTGATGCTCCTTTTGCAGGGATGAGAGTGAAATGATGCTGTGGGAGCAAGATATAGCATGTTGCCCCAGAGAGTTTCCTGGTTCCTAAGGACACTATGTGCCAGCCTGTGTTGTGGCACTGTCTCTGGAGGATCACTTTCTAAAAACCATTGAGGGCCACTAAACCTTAGGCAGTTCCATCTTTTGGTATATTTTTATGAGATAGCTTTTCTATAATTACAGTTTTCTTTTTCAAGAAAGTGTTTATTTTCCTTTCCATTTTTAAAAAAAAGTTTTCCTGTGTTGTTTTTGTTTGTTTGTTTAATACAACTAAGCATGTCTTGTTTTGAAATGTTTTATTGACTTGTACTCTCATTCACTGTATTAAAATACTCAGTGTTTTTTGAACTGAAAAAGGGAAGAAGTAAGTTTTTCAGTTTGATATGGGAAGTATACTTGAATTGATTAGTTCTTGACAGATTCCCGGAAAGTTCTTAGTGGAGGATAAAGTTCTTACCATTGTTTGCCTGAATTCCAGAAGAAGATATTTCTCCTTTAGGTCCTAGCTTTTGTAAAACTTATTCTAGACCCTAGAAATTGGTGATTTGTTTTGTAAGATTTGGACAATGATTTGGGAGAACTGTATGATAACCTGAATACACAGAATGAATATACCATTCTAAAATATCTATGTACACAACTGAAGAAAACTTGGTTATTCCAGCAGTAACTGTGGGAATAAAACTCATTTTTTAAAAAATGGTTCCAAATCATGTGGATTTATGTTTGTTCCAGTAGGGTGTTATTAGGACTTGAATCCATTCTAAAAGTAAAAGGTTTAATTTTTTTTTTCCTCTTTCCATGTGAAGGTGATTTGCCAGGTACTCGTGAAAAGGAATCTCTGGCTCACCACATCCTTTCTAATGTTGCTCATGGCAAATATTGCTCCAGTTAATTTACGTTTTTTTCTCAGCTATGATTTCTATTGACAATTGTATTTAGTCTGTTTTGGATTACAAATTCAGTTAACTAGTCCTTTATTATCCTTCTTAAATATTAATACTGTAAAATTTCAATTTGGAACTAGTTAATCTTTTTTACATCTTAGTAAGAATCATAAACTTCTTCAAAGAATATTAGAATACTGTATATGTTGTTATCTGAAGGTTAGCAGTTGGCAGTAATTTCTGACATCATACCCCTTTAAAACATAGTCTATTTAATATCTGTATGTGTCCTTTAGAAGAAGTCTCTAAAACTTTGATAAATCTAATATAAGATAAAAAATGGAGAGCTATAGCATGGAAGGGAAAACTAATCATGATACAGATAGTACGTTTTCCAAATGTGATTTCTGTACTTGATATGACTCTTGTCATTCAGTGATAGATAAAGGAGTGGAAGTTGAGGATGAAAAGACTTGGCTGTGTAGGGGATAGAGGAGCTGAGAGAAGCCCAGATTCTTTGTTGTTTGAAAGAAATGGGAATTTAGAGAAGGTTTGAATGCTGATGCCTATTGGAACAATACAGGAGAAAGACACTGATTGATTTGCATGATAGTAGGTGTCTCTGATGAACTAGAAAGGGACCTTCCTTGAGGAGGTGTGGATGGATTTGCTTTTGACTGAAAGGGAAACTTGAGGGCTTGTGGTTTTTCTGTGAAGTAGGAGGCTGTGAAGAATGAGGAGTAGTAGATGGGCGGTGAGTATGCTGAAAGTTTGAGAAGAGTAGAAAAGTCTTGAAAATAAGCATTTCCTAGTTCACTGGAAAAACAGTAAGATTGCTGGGCATTGTTGACCATGAATCTTTAGGGACATAATTTTCCAATATCCCCCTGCAAAGAACTCTTAGATTTTCTGCTGCAAATATGGAAAAGGCAAGTGATTGAGTGTATAGTTTTGATCCTGGGGCTTTTGAAGAGGTCACTGATCTGCCTTGCCCTGAGTACCTAAGAATAAATAGCCTTCACCCAACAAGGTTGCAGCCAAGACCTTTCCTCAGGGAAAGCCAGTTTTAGTTAAATCTAGGTGATAGAGGGCATATTAGAAGAAGGGGTTAAAAGCAACCATGTTTTAGGTGCTTTGGGAAGTTGAATTGGCTTAATCAGTGTGTGGCAGTTATCAAAGTTTTCTAATTATTTTGGTGACTTTAAAAAAAATAATCTATCTGAAAGGTTTATTTTTTAGTTTTTTGGTTGTAGAAAACTGAAACAATAAAAGTTTTCCCCCCCTTAGAGTAGAACAAAATTGTTACATTTGAAGTTCATAACAGGTAAAATTAAAAAGAATTAGGTAGACCAAAAGTAGGAGTGAGGATACTTACTTTCTGAGTTTTGTATTCAAAATCCAAATTGGAAAGTGCAGTGTTAATTATGTTACTTTATATGTCTTCTACTAATGCAATATCTCTTCTTTCTTTTTAGGAAATAGTCTAGTAAGTTTAACCTTTCATTTATTTAGTCTTCATGGATTAATTGAGTACTTCCATTTAGATATGATGAAACTTCGTAGATTTTTAGGTGAGTCTAACCCATTTAACAATAATAAGATTTGTATGAGAACTTGTTTAATTTTTTTATCAGATTCATCAGTTATCTATTGCTCTGTAACAAACCACTCAAAATTTTTTAGTTAAAACACATTTGCCATTGTGTACCACGTGACAGCTTTTTGTCAGTGACAGACTATATGTATGACAGTGGTCCCAGGAGATCATATACCCAAATGAATTGTAGCCACTAAAGTTGTGCAAGTACATTCGATGATGTTCCCACAGCAATGAAATTGCCTAATGTCATACTTCTCAGAATGTATCTAGTCAGACATATTCAGATGAAAGACAGTAAATGTGAATTGTGAGTTGATTATCATCTCTTCAAATCTGGACAATTTTAGCTGATAGCTCCATGGAAAATATGAGTGGATAACTGACGATTATCACAATTTTTGTACCTTTACATGTCACCCATTTACAGTACAATTGGGATCTTTTTTTCTTTGATGCAGTTATGATTCAAGAAGATTACCACAGTCAAAATCCTTATCATAATGCAGTCCATGCTGCAGATGTTACTCAGGCCATGCACTGTTACTTAAAGGAACCTAAGGTAAGAGGTCGACCTTGACTTTAGGTGTAAATTATAAGAAATTTGCTTTTAATTTACTTTCAGAGACTTTTTCCTAAGTTTGTGACTTGGCTGCACTGGCAGCCAAGAACCAATCTTTCACAGATATTGCTAAATTAATATAGTAATTGATTTAAACTCATATGTAAGAGTGAGTCTAAACATAAAATAGAAAACAGAGGCAGAAATCACAGCTTCCTCAGTGACAACCATGATTATTAACATTGTCAGTAATTCAAGGATATCAGGCTCAATTGGAACAAAATTCTTTATAGTCCATGTAAGTTCAGTCTTGAAGACAAAATGTAAATACTAAAGGGAGAAATGATATATGTATGTTTTTCAGTGTGTACTGTAGTAAGGGAGAAGGCAGTTGCTGCATTGAGGGCTCAGTGATTCTATGTCCTTAATCAAAGCTTTGGCTTTTATAGATAGAGTTCATTGAGTTTGTTAATGATGAAAAGTGTTTAAAATCACATTTGTCTTCATTTATCCACAAGCCTCCCCAGCCTGCTTACCTGCCATCTCTTAGATTTCCTAGCTCCTGGCTGTAGTTAGGTGTGGCCAGTGGAAGATGGGTAGTAGGAGGAGCCCTCTCTATTTAGGTCAGCCCTCCTCTGTGCTTCAGAGAATTTGTCTCCATTATTTCATTTTCCAGACTTGCACGGAGGTTCTTTATCAATTTCTCCCACAAAGTTCTCAAAGAAAGGTTTCAGGTTGGCCTTTTAAATTTTTTAATTTAAAGATTGGGATAGTTGAGAGTATACATGTGTCAAAACTGTATGCATAAAATGTATATATTTTATTACTGCATGGAAGTTATACCATAATAAAGATGATATTTAAAAAGTCATGATACATATAGTAAAAAAAATGGGACATGAAAGATCAGATGACTGGCTGTGTTCTCAGTTCAACTGGCACAAACTGGTTTAGTTGTTTTCCTCCTCACATCTAGCCAGAATAAGGGGAGAGAACTGTTTTGAAGTAATGCTAGGGGCACTACTAGGCAGATTCTGGGATAGATGTCGTTCATGGGCTCACATGGCTCTCAGTTACATCTGCAGGTGATGATTCCTAAATCTCTCTCTCAACTTTGATTTCTATTCTATACTTGATGTCTACTAGAGATAAGAGTCCTATCTTTTTGGTGTCATACAAATACATGCAATTCCACAAACACAAAGTGGAATGTATCATATGCACATTATTCTTGCACTGAGTACAGACTACATAGCTGATGACAAAGAATGTATATAAGAAATGAATTTTGACCTTTGAAGTTTTAGTTGTGGAACATGTCAGAACCTAACATGAAAACCACAAGGATGGTCAGCCCTGTGAAGTGCTACAGGAGCACAAACCAGTCCTTTGCTTAGGAAGTAGCTGGAGGGTGGATCCGTGGAGTTGGGCCTTATAGGATAAGGATAAGTAGAATTTTGCCAGAAAAAGAGGGAGTTCATGAGAGCAGATGCTAGACTCAATGTGACTAATTTAATTGTTGAATTTCAGTCAGCTAATATTAGACTTTTTTGTTGTAGATTGTTTTATTGTATCAAATAAGTTTGGTAATGATTATTGAAGATAAAACTATAAGTGCCAGTTTACAGATTTCCCTCTTGTGTGACTTGACTTTGTGTGTACCTTGTTCTGAATGTATACATCCATTGGGAGAGAATTTTATTACACACTTCACCTAAACTTCTGCCTGCATGATTCCTCAGTAGCTTCCTTAAATATTAAGACTACAGGAATAACCTTGCATTTAAATTACATTATTGAAATTCAGTGATCAATTTATTGATAGATAAAGACTCTGGAAATTATAGGTCTTCTACTTTGTAATAGCTCCAATAATGAAAATACACACACCTGTGTTTGTCAGGTTTCAAAAACCATTTAAAAAATAAATGGTTTATACTTCAGCTATCATTTTAGGTAAGTGTGTTAAAAATGAAGCAGTATAAAGATAAGCTCTGTAAACTCCATAGGACACTGTTATATCACACCTGCCACAGTGTCCTGATAAGGTAGTACCTGGCAGGTGTTGGTGGCATTCATGAATAGTCTGCCTGAAATAAATGACATGAAGTGGGGGAAGATTGTCAACACTACCACTGGCTGCTAATTCAAAACTACTCTAGTGGTGTAGAGTTTACTTCAAATATATGATTAATTATTCTTTTGTCACACTTTAGCTTGCCAATTCTGTAACTCCTTGGGATATCTTGCTGAGCTTAATTGCAGCTGCCACTCATGATCTGGATCATCCAGGTGTTAATCAACTTTTCCTTATTAAAACTAACCATTACTTGGCAACTTTATACAAGGTTAGTGCAGTTTTATCATCAAAGTCTGATTTTTTGCATTTTAGAATAAATGTTTCATATTTTGAAGAAATAAAAGTAGCAAAAATAAATTCTCAATGAATGCTAGAATTTTGACCAGATTAATATTACTGACAATTAATTCTTTGTTTAGGAAGAGACTTACTATTAAGTAACTAAGAAACATACTTTTTGTAGAATACCTCAGTACTGGAAAATCACCACTGGAGATCTGCAGTGGGCTTATTGAGAGAATCCGGTTTATTCTCACATTTGCCATTAGAAAGAAGGTATGTTGGATTAAGACAAATTTAATTTGTTATTAACTATGGAAATTAAGTTGGCAAATAAATCTAAGTTTTGAAATTAATGTTATTATGTCCAGGTGTTCTATAGTTTTCAGTTTTTGTTAAACTAAATGGATAAATTATCTTATTTAAAAATATATTTATCAAAATTTCAAATGTTTAATCCTGTACTATATATCCAGTCAGTAATATTTTAGTGGCTATTTATTTTTATGAAAGACCATTCTATGAATTTGAGTACTAGAACATTTACTCCAGATACAAAAGGGCTCAGTCATAGGTTACTACTTAAATAGGTCTTACATATTTCCACTGTATGCTCAGCTGAATAAAACCTTAAGGTCTAGGTGTAAAGGCAAATTGTGTAGAAAGTAATTTTTCTATATAACAAGTAGATTCATTACAGTCTGTCTCAGGAAGTTTTCAAAATTGCTGAGAAGGAAAGAATGAAACTGTGTCCTCAAGAGCATAGTTCTAAAGTCACTTTTAGAGCTATTAAAATATATGATGAAAAGAAAATAATATTTTAGAAACATAATTTAATGTTAGGCAGGACATTAAAAGGACTATTAAAAGTATCAATGTAAATAAGTTCAACATGGTGGTGGTGAACTGCCATGGTATAGTTCACAAATAAACATGAAAGTAGTGAAAATAAAAAGGTTTTACTGATGCTACACATAGAGAAGATGCACTTCAGAAAACCATGTACCATCCATCAAGAAAAGTGGTGAGGTGTCAGGGTGTATGCTTGAGTATTAAAATTTACACTCATTTACCTTTTTCCTTTTATAATTTAAAACTGTTTTCTTAAAAAACTGTTTTATGTAATGACTATAAGGAAAAAGCTGGACTTTATTTTTTATTTTTTTAAATCTATTCATGGTTACCATTTGGAGTATGACAATACTTCTGGTAAGTAAACTGTTTCTTGCTGTAGCACAAATATAAAAATTGCTTAAACTGTACAGTATTTATTTATCTAACTTTGGGGATGTTTTTATTAAGACAGATTAACATATTTGCCTCATTGTTTACTTTTTATCCTGTTTTGCATTTGATGATTAACTTTGTTGATTTCTTTAGGTTTAATAAAAATAAACTGAAAATGAGGAAAACTGTTAATAGTATCCTTTTACATTTTGTTCATTTAGGGTTTATTTTACTTTAATCAATTTTGTGAGTGTTTTAATGTGTTTGTCAGCTGTTTGCTGACCATTAAAGATATACTTGCATTAGAACAAAGGGAAGGGATTTTTCAGTGTATTACTCTAGTTACTTGACATGAGGTGATATTAATATTTTATATTTGCTATTTCTATTAGCATGTCACCTTTTTCTTCTAGAAATTTGAATATTCATATACAAATATTTGATTAATTCTTGAATTTGACTTTGAATATATAGTGAAATTTAAACTTAATTAATTTTTTAGTGGTATCATTAGAATTTCCTTAGGCATATTTGTCAAAATGCCTAAGGTGGTCATTTGTTCAATGGTCTAGTATTCTCTCCATTTGAATCTTCCTTCTGCCTTTCAAATCTCAGGCATCAAAGAGAAACCAAAGTTGTTTATCCTCAGCACAAGAATTTTCCAGCAAAGAAACCCTAGAAAAGGATTTTCTCAAATACCATACCAATGCTATATTCATTTTTTTAAAGCAAATAATTCTACCTTGGTTAGCAAAAACAAAGGCACTTTTTTGGACTGTTTATATGTTGGCATTTTCTTACAAACTCCCTTGGTTTTAGTTTTGATTGTTTTAATAGTCTTTAAATGAATTTTTTAAAATACATTTTTTTTTTTTAGATAAAATTTTTAAGTTGGATGGCAGTTTGAATATCTTAGGGCTCTGTAAAGCTTTGCTTAAGGGGAAAAATCAAGAATAATTATTTAACTAATAGTCTTATACTTTCTTCTTATATTTATTTAATTACAGGCAGCAAATGGAGACTCAGATAGGTGCTTTGATACTGGCCACAGATATCAGTCGTCAGAACGAGTACCTGTCATTGTTTAGGTCCCATTTGGATAGAGGTGACTTGTGCCTAGAAGATGCCAGACATAGGCATTTGGTTTTACAGGTAAAATGAGGGTTGGAAAGGTTGTATTTCTAGGGTAAATTATGTTACTATTACAATAAAAATAAAATATTCTAGAATGTTTTTTCAGGGTAGTTAATCTGGAGAGACAGCTAAGGTGTTTCCTTAGTCAGGATCCACTTTCCAGGAAAGCATTGGCAGATCTGCTGCCTGGTGTTTTTTTTTTTTTTAGTTGTAGATGGACACAATACCTTTATTTTATTTGTTTATATTTTTGTGTAGCACTGGGGATCGAACCTAGTGCTTTATGCATGTTAGGCAAGTGCTCTACCACGGAGCCACATCCATGGCCCCTGAGCCTGGTATTTTTATACTCAAGAATTCTGATGAGAAGAAAATGTCTGCAAGATCAGAATACCATGATCAAATTATGTTGTGGACATGTACAAATATGGCATAATTAATTCTGCTAATATGTATAATTATAATGTGCCATTGAAAAATAACAACAAAACCAACAACAACAACAAAATATATATATATTTTTTCTTTTCTTTTTTTTTTTAGTTTGTTCTGGGGATTGAACCCAACATCTGATGCATGTTAAACTTTAACGTGTTGTACAATTGAGCTATACTCTAGCTCTTTTTCTTTTTCTCTTCTCTTCTTTTCTTTTCTTTTTCTTTTTTTTTTTTT